TGAACTCTCTCTCATGTTGAAAGTCGTGATGTAAAGATCCTTGTCCATCGACTGCACACTTGTTGACTTATTTGAGGAGTCTCTTTCATCAAAGTTTTAACTACGAACAGAAAACCCCCTTTTAAAAAGTAAATGTATGTTTGTGTCCTTGTGTTCCCAGCACAGCTTGCAATACACAATGAATGGAGATTCATTTTCACTTGCATCAGTTGCAGTGTTGTGATGAGGGCTGCACTCGCAGTAATGACTCAGTATTGTACATGGTACACTTTCTAGATTAAAAACAACAGGTATCTGAAGTGCGTTTTATTCATCCGATTTCACCATAAATCATGTAAAATGTTCAACTTGTTATAACTTTCACTACAAGATACTTATTGAGGCAAAACCCTCCATGTGCTCTCCTACATCAGCTGTTTTCACACACGCACTCCTGAAATAGCAACAGGGTCCGCTAAGTGATGATATAATGAGAATATTTGTCTTTACATCAACGCTATGTGTCACAATTTGAACTAAAGAGAGAGAGAACAACAAACTTAATGCAGCCCTTTCTTTACATGCAGTAGTGGTCATGTGAATACTCTGCACACGTGCAGCAGTCACATGATAAAACGTCTCTCCTCCTCCTATTGGCTTAGGCTGAATTCTCTGAGAATATCCTGCTGCGTTCTCACATCAGCTCACTCTGACTTACTGCAGAAAACAACATGGCTGCACTCAGAGAGCGCTGCCATCGAGTGCAGGACAGATTGAAGTTTGATGTTCTGTGAAAATCGGTGCCAGACTGACTTCTGACATTTTAGCAGCTCTTTATCACCTTTACAGGAACTCTGTTATACACAGAGTGAAAACTCTTTTAAGGACATATTTACTCTCTGGGCTCCTGATAACTTCTCTAAGTTCTAATATTGGTATTACTTAAGGACAAATGTGGAATATAAGTCGCACCGGTATATAAGACACAGCTCAGAGAAAAAGAAGGTTTAAACTTTCTTCCTGCTGTATAGTTTCTATCCTGTGCAGTTTCTGTTTGCACTCCTACCAGCTCCAGTACGGGAGTTGAACTCTCTCTTCATGTTGAAAGTCGTGATGTAAAGATCCTTGTCCATCGACTTGCACACTTGTTGACTTTATTTGAGGAGTCTCTTTCATCAAAGTTTTAACTACGGAACAGAAAACCCCCTTTTAAAAAGTAAATGTTATGTTTGTGTCCTTGTGTTTCCCAGCACAGCTTGCAATACACAATGAATGGAGATTCATTTTCACTTGCATCAGGTTGCAGTGTGTGGTGATGAGGGGCTGCACTCGCAGTAATGACTCAGTATTGTACACTGGTACACTTTCTAGATTAAAAACAACAGGTATCTGAAGTGCGTTTTATTCATCCGATTTCACCATAAATCATGTAAAATGTTCAACTTGTTATAACTTTCACTACAAGATACTTATTGAGGGCAAAACCCTCCATGTGCTGCTCCTACATCAGCTGTTTTCACACACGCACTCCTGAAAATAGCAACAGGGTCCGCTAAGTGATGATATAATGAGAATATTTGTCTTTACATCAACGCTATGTGTCACAATTTGAACTAAAGAGAGAAGAACAACAAACTTAATGCAGCCCTTTCTTTACATGCAGTAGTGGTCATGTGAATACTCTGCACCGTGCAGCAGTCACATGATATAAACGTCTCTCCTCCTCCTATTGGCTTAGGCTGAATTCTCTGGAGAATATCCTGCTGCGTTCTCACATCAGCTCACTCTGACTTACTGCAGAAACAACACTCGGGGTCTCCTCTGGTAAATATCGGGAGTGTTTCAGGAGTTTTCTGCCAGTGTGAAAGCCCTCATGGAGTATTTTAATGATGATCAAAGACTCATTTTTATCAGGTTCTGCTTTGAAAGTGTGGTGGACAATACTTTTACCAAACTGATGAATTACTATTTGGACTGAGTATTACCAACATCAAAATGATTATATTTCTTTTGAAGGTTTGAACATAAAGAAAAAGCCAGGGTGAAGTTAAAGTCTTAAACAGATACAACAAGTTCCTTTCAATTTAAGATGTCTGTCTTTACATGTCTGTGCTTTGTCCCAGCACACGATTTAGAGATTTAATCGAGTCACAACTTTATTTACTGCTTTTGTATTTGAATGGAACTCAGTCTGGTAATGAGAGTGTTTGATTTATTTCAACCATCTTTTCCAATTCATAACTAATCTACTTATTATTCAGGGTTTTTAGATGGGTATGACATTAGCTCTATTCACACATGCAAATAAACTCCTGAACATTTCCAGACACTTTATGAGCTGAGCTTCATGCATGAAAAACAAACAGCAGAAAACATTTCCTGTCCCCTTTATTCATTATTCCTGCCTCCAAGTTCAAATGTCTGCCCGATGTGTGAACACAGCAGGGAATACTTAGTAGTTGTTTCCACTCTTTCCTACAGTGAATACCTCATTTGATTCTTTCTTTTTATAGCATGGCTATAAAAACTAGAGCTGTCAAACTATAAGTTATTTAAATCCTGATTAAAATCTGAATTTCAACAGTTAATCGCTTGTTTCAGATACCTTTATTTTGCTTTCATTTAGAATATTTGTACTGTCTTAAACTAAGGGAACTTTCCTTCCTGTTTGGCAACAAATCTGCTTTTATTTTGAAATAAAGTGAAAAGGGAAGTTCCAATAGATCGAAGACTAGAACTTTAACTCAACCATGGAAAAAGAAACAAGTTAAAAAAGACAGCTGAAGGGAATGACTCAGCAGCCAGGTAAGGCACAGCCGGGTCGTCCATCACTATGACTACGGGGAGACTCTGGGTGGATTATCTACGACGCGGCTACATTGTCAGAACAACATACGATTAAGAAAAAAAGAAAGTGTTCATTTAGAGGCATCGAGATGAACACATGTAAACATACCCATCACTGAGGATTTCTCCCCCAATTCAGCAGACAAAGTTTTTGGTTTGGTGGGCAATAGTGGCTCAAAGTCAGACTTTGGTCGTGTGAAAGGCACCTCTCCATTGTGCCTGCAGATTTAAAGGAAAATGGAAAATCACTTAGAAGAGAAAAAACAACAGGACACACGTTTTCCAATGTGTGCACTACAAAGACTTCACTGTCCTCTATTCTCAAACACTCTTCTGTCCTTGTGTTCCTGTAGAATCCTTCAATGAAAAGGTTTCTTTGGAAAAGTGAAAAAATTAACCACTGATGGATATACAGAAGAAAAGACAACACACTGACTTGAGATTTGGCGAGGGGGCAAGAGGCTTGTCAGGCCTTTTTGGTGGAAGGCTTCCTGGTCTGCCTTTGCCTGGAGGGGGAACTGGCTTCTTGGGTGGAACAACGGGCGCTGCAGGCTTGGATGGCTTATGATCTGATGTCGGCCTGTCGGCTGTAAACAGAGAAAGAAGAGAGTTACAAATAGAAACCAATCTTTGTCGCATACCCACCTCAAATAGTTTGTCAGGAGTTTGACCAGTATAAAACTTATCTTATCGTATATAAACATGGACGGTCTTACCTTTGTCTTCTGACCTGATGTGATGTGGTTTCCTGTCGGCGCTTGGTACCTCCGGCTTGGGAGCTGTAAAATGAAGCATAATCATCTCATTAGGCAGAAGTTCTGTCTCCATAATACTCTGAATTAAAAAAGCTGCATGGTGAATTCCTGTTTTAAGGCTAAAGGAGCGTCACAGACTGTCTGGATGTTCTGAAAAATGATTCATTGTTGCCCCTCAACAACATGAAAAATAAAAAAATAAAAAAAGACACGCACATCCGTAAGCGAGTGCTGGATCCAAAAAAAAGATCCACACGCAGAGGAGCTTATTTATTACGCATTTGTTTATTTGACATGGACATTCAGAAACATTAGTGCTGTAACATTTAACCATGCAGTCCCACACGTACTGCTCTCAGTGTTTTTAGCAAAATGCTAAATTACAACACCTGACCACGGGAGGCTTTAAGATATATGAACTTATTTAGATACATCATCCTTAAACAGGAGCTCCTCGTGTGCAGATCCATTTGACAACATGACACATGAATGAAAGATTAAAGTTGTTTGTTTCAAAAAAACACATTTGATATGAATACAAACGTAACATTAAAATGTACCCTAAGCGATGCTTCTCTGTAATCTGGAAACACCACGAGGGCGAAGTGTTGGAGGTTAGCACACTTTAGTTGTAAAACAAAAGTGAAGCAGCACCCTGTTCTCACACTCACCTCTCAGGTGTTAGATTTTAATGGAGGTGCAGAGTGTGGAGTGTTCCTTACCTAAGCTTTTTGAAGGTGGAGGTGGCTTCTTCGGTTTCTGACAGGAAGAAAAAAAAAGGTTTAGGTAAAAAACAGGTCAGTGACATCACAGTGGATGACGACGTGTTTCACAATCTTTACTTCAATGATCGCTAATAAAGAAAGTGTAACGGAACCAGATGCAGAACAAACTGACAGAACTCAAAGAACTGCTAGGAGCTCAACAACATGTTGTAGGTTAACACTGACCAGGAGCCAGGACAATCTCCTATGACTCTTGTGTTTACATTGAACTGTGCGAACGAACGCTTCCACAGATGAGTCGCATCCTGGGAAAGAGGCTCACGCTGAGGTCTGAGGATCGTCCAAGTATCATAAAACTGACAAGAGACTTTTTGGATTTCTCAAATTGAAAGATCGTATTTTCTGCATTAAATGAAAGTCCATTTAATTTACTTTATTAATCTGCATTATTGTTCACGATTCCTGTAATAAAATCACACGTAATCATTTAGAACTTTGTCTGTGTTTCTTTAATGATTGAAGTGATCCTAGAGAACTTTTACTGACATTCTGATGAGACTGAATAATTAATTAACTTATTCAGTTAAAGTTCATTTCTTCCTTTAACAGGAAGTGGTGCACCCGAGGAATAATTAGAATATAATATCTTAATAAGTTCATTACGCTACAAAAGTAAATAGGGAAGAAAGGCCAACGAGCTCAACAAGTCCAATCAGATTCAAACTGGAACTGAGTCACATGTTGAGGTGTTATGGAGTTCTCTGCTTGTTCACACGAGAATTCAAATTACACTAAACAACAAAACAGATCACTGCTTTTGTTTCTGCATTGAACGTGTTTAAGTGAAAGGAGACAAACTCAAAAGAAGACTGTGTGTGAAAGTGCAGGATCATAGTGTGTGATCAGGGCGCTGACAGCTTACCTCTTCTGACTCCTGCTTAGGTGATGATTTCACCGACCCTCTGGACGTCAAAGTCTGAAATGTAAAGATGAAAACAGAGAATAAAATCATTGAGTTATAACAACCTCAGAACACATTCTACGATGGAAAGACGAGGCTCCTTTCCATAAACATTTTCTGAACATTTAACATGTCATTTATTTCTACTCTTCCTTTTCAAACAGAACATTAAGAATATGAAAATGCATTATTTCAAATGTTTAAAGGCAGGGTTGGTCATTTTCTAAAACTAGCATGATTTTGAAAGTAGCGTTCCCTCAGTGCTCCGTCTAAGTCTGTTTTACTCCTCACAACAGCCAACAACAAACTCTGTATAAACTCCGTTATTGGTGACGTGCTTTGAGTGTGGGATAGTGAACACAGGGGGTAGAGAACGAGCAGGGAGACAGGGAGGCGTCTGATTGGTTCATCAGATTGGTACCTCGTGGCAGACATTGGTTGAAGTTTTTACAGACTTACATCTGACACAGATGACAGATTTTCTTTGTTCCTTTTTCAGAGAACATGAGTTATAAATTTCTGTCAGGACCTAAAGACAATTTACACCAAAATCTGAAAAAGTGGATCTGGAGGAAATGACCAATCCAGACTTTAAACAAGAAGAAATTAAAATGTTTGTTAGTTTCTGCACACGTGTCCATAAGTTGCTCGTTGCTAAGCAACACCTGGGTAAGGTGGAAAGTGGATGAACCGGTTCTAAGTCCTGCTTGTTTGAATTTGTGTCATTTTGTCAATAATTAGCTGACAATGTACAGCAGAGTTTCAAAGAATCCAAAGCAGGGCTGGAAATCAGCACTGGTCACCCACCAAATACTGGTGGTGTTTTTTTGTTTTTTTTTCAGTGACAGGTGAATTTGCTAAACTTACTTTACTTTTATGTACAAGCCACCGTAACAGAGTGATTTTAACACACAAGCTTTAAAACAACAAATCCATGATCTTGCCTCTCAGATAAATGAGTTAGCGATTGAGGACATAACTGCAAGGAAACTCTTATCCTCCTTCAAATAATGTTTTTTCTGTTTCTGAGTGAGAAAACGAGCATGTGAGTGTTTTAAAATATATATTCATACAATAGAAGAACACGTGAATGCTGTCAGCTTTGATTTGATAGTATACATTTTTCTGTGGCTTCAAATAAAGTGGCAGGTTAAAAAAAGAGTGACTGGTAGATTTTTGAATCCAGCAGTCCCAGGAGAGCAACAAATCCTGTGACATGTTGTGCTGAAGCTTCAGGACATGTTGTCCTCTGGTTCACTGATTCTTCACCTCACCTCTCTCTCTGCTTCAGACAGAAGGACGACAAAGTTGTCGGGGAAGACGCCTTCTCTGCCGCCGATTTCCCCTCGCCACCAACCAGGCTCTCCTGTGTCCTGATACATAAGAGTGTACAAAAAGAGTGGAGTCATTCATCTAATATGCCTTAAAGATGTCCTCTTAAAGCAGGAAGCTTATTCAGAGAAAACAGAACTGCTGAGGAGAGGAGATGCACTTCTTCACAGTGTCCACTAGAAGGTGCTGGACTGCTGAAAAAGTCTTGGCAGGCAAAAGGTTGTGTCCCCATTCTTCTTGTGGTTCAACAACAGGCCCCGAGTCCCAGTTTTCATAGCTCACGCCTCGTGTCAGAGGCAGCTGAGCTGATCCAGCAGTTTGTGTACGAGGGATATCTCTGGATTAAAACAATCGTCTAACAACCTTCTCACATTTTAAAAGTCATACTCTAACTCTGTGAATGTAAATATAATACAGTGACATGCATTCTTACTGTGGAAATCTCTCCTCCTGTTCATGAACTGATGACAGCGATCTTATCGAATACTTCAGACATTATCAGGAAACGTTTCTAGTCCTTTAAAATCTGTTGAATGCTTACTTTACTCTTATCCACCACAACTGTGCCAGTCACCTGCTGCTTAACACAACCCTCCATCCCTTCTCCTCACTCCAAGTCAAATCAGACTACTCGTCCTGTGGAGAGACGAGGAGGCTGCTGCTTTCAGAACAGATACATGCTGTTTGTCATTGAAGCAGAGAGTCGTCAGAGGGTGGACAGCTGATGTCATACCGTTAAGTGTGAAGCTGATTTATGCAAAAACACTTAGAAACATCAACATCACAGACAAGGCAAGCTAAAGATCAGGTGGGAAAGAAGAGACTGATACCATGATCTAAAAACTGTCCAGCAGTACGATAGAAGAGGCAGTTTTGTTGTTTTGATCCCAGTGAGTACCAGCCGGGATTTTAAGATGAAATGTGGTTTATAAAACTAGAAATGACACCATAACATGTTTAAGATACTTTTATGTTAGAAGTAGATTTGATAAGTGGGGACAATAAGGGTCAAATACTTTTGATCCCCTAATATCAGAACTCCACTTTGTACAAAAAAGCTCTGCAGAGTGAAAAATGTTGAGTTCCAGTCGAGCCCCCTCGTCCTCACGTGTCTACACGAGCGACAGAAAAAAAAAAAAGAAACATGGCGGCGGGCAGTAGGAACAGAATCAAGCTGATTTTGTCGCTGACGCTCCCTCGTGTAGCGTGCTTTCAGGACACGCTGTGACGCTCTGGTTTATTTTCATAACTTTGACACCTAGAGCGTTGAAACGTACCTTGCTCAGGATGTGGATGACTTCTCCCTCTTTTATGGTCAGCTCGTCCTCGTTTGTAGAATCAAAAGCAAACGTGACCTTACAGTACTCTTTAGCTGCAGGACACAGAAATGATGCAGTTAAAACACTAACAGAAGAGAACAGATTCAGACATGAACTTAAACTACTTATCTTACTGTTAACACTTCACCTGAGGTCAAAACCTTTAACAGGACACGGGTTGAATTAACGCACACAGTGAAAATTCATCCTACTCGGAGACTGACTCCACCTTTTAAAGGTTATCCAGAAAAAATATCAACACCCTGTCAAGTATCTGGTTCACATTCAAGCTCCTCAAACAGGATCCGTTTTCCTCAATGTAAAGGTGAAACATCATGTTTTATAACCCAGATGAAGGAAAGCTGCATTAGACCGCTTTCTCCATAACCCTAACTAAAGGCATAAATGACATTTCAAGTTCTGCTTCCTCACTCTTACATTAGAGTAATCTAAACAACATTAGACAACCGACTGCTCCAGAACATTTCTGATCTCAGGTGAATTGAAAAATAGATGTGGCAGTTAGATGATGGATCAAACCCACATAAAGTCCAATACATTGAACTTCTAGGTAGTGTTGTAGTCAGGACCAGATTAACCGAGACCAGAGTGCTCCGATGACAGCAAGACATTTAGGGATCGAGGCCAAGTAAAGACTAAGACATTGGTCCATACAAATCACTGAAAAATCCTCATCTTGTGTGCAGGGAGCGTGTCACTAACACAGAGCGTAACAACGGGAAGGTTGCAGCCGTAACCGGGGAATACAAACCAAACTATAAATGAATTTAAATGACTTGTTCTTTTAGAAAGATATTTTTTCTTCTAACCACAGTAATGACCTGAGAAAGAAGCTTATCCGTGATGGTCTTGACTGGTCTTGATTTAAAATCTGGAGTCCGTCCAGTTTGAGACCTAGACCAGACCGAGTAAAAATGTTTTTAATTCAGAGACGAGACTGAGACCTTCTCGAGACCAACGCTGACTTCAAGTACTGCACATTAGTTCTAGGCATAAATAAACGTTTTCAAGTTGTGTTTCAATAATCCAGAATCTGTTCCCCTTCAGTCAACAAACCAAAAGCTTTCCAATCATACTGCTGTTAAAGGCCTGATTGAATTATAACATAGATGATATCAACATTACCTATGGGTTATCAAATGTGTTGTTCTACATTTCAATGTGTCTGAATAACACTCTGGATTCTTAAGAGTTGATTAGTTGCCAATCAAAGGGGAAGCAGGGAAACGACAACACAGAGGTACAACAGAACACCTTACATCTTGACCATAATGCCAGAGGAAAATGGCTGCACCGTCACACAGTAGGTGGATGAAATACATTTCCCACAAGTCTTTCAGTTCGTTTAGAGGTTTTTACCTTTGGATTTGTTGTCTCCGTCTACTCTCTGCGCGTCGCTCATGTTGGGATGGGCAGGCTTTGCAGTAGATGGTAATGATGGGATTGGCTACAATGAAGCAAACCATACAGATGGACATGAGTGGATATGTGGCTTTATGTACACGACACCCCTTCGAGGAAAGTTTGTGTTTGAGGGGGGGTAGAAGTCTGATCAATCCTGCTTCTGCACGGTACGGGACAACTTTGCCTCGTGTGAGTGAGTGCAGTGTTATAATGTATGCTTGGTATCATACTCAATTTGCTAAGGATCCCGAGCAGAGCAGTATGTGGGGTATGAGGGTTGCTCCACATGGATGGACCCTCGGTTGTGAAGTGGAGAGTGTGAGGGCATGCAACATGCGGTAGATATGTGAGGAGAGGAGGGGAGTGACAGAAGCTGTGTTAGTCGTGAAAGAGAGTGTAGTGGGGGCTGTAGTGAAGAGGAGAGAGAGAAGGGAAAAACGGGAGAGTTTAAGAACGAAGTTAAATGTGTAACTGTTTAAGCAGTAAGCTTCTGGAAGTTAAAGAAATACCTATTTTAATGATTGTGTCTTTGAAAGAGTAAAACCTTCCTCGTGTTAAAGATGCCAGTTTACAAATGGTTAAAGGAAGAATGTGTGGGGGCGCTGGTGGTGCAGTGGTTAGAGCGTGTGCCCCATGTATGGAGGCTGTAGTCCTCCAAGCGGGCGGCCCAGGTTCAAATCCCGCCTGTGGCTCCTTCCCTGCATGTTATTCCCCTCTCCCTCCCTGAGTTCCAGCTCTATCCACTGTCATATCTCTCCATTAAAGGCACAAAAAGCCCAAAAATAAATCGTATAAGTATATTTAAAAAAATAATTAAAAGGAAGAATGTGCAACTCTTTGATCCGGTAGATGCCCTCAAGCACCAGCGTTAAACCAAAACAAGCTGCTGTTTGTCCACAGCGGGGTTAAGTGTCTTACACATCGGACACATTGCTGCAGGAGCTGGGGATTGAACCCTCAACCTTTTGGTTGGAGATGACGACTCTACCAACTGAGCCACAGCCGCCCACAAAATCTACAGTTGTTTTTTTTTGTTTTTATCTACACCCAGGCGCAGGTCTAGATCAAAACGTCTTAGTTCTGAGATTAAAGGGGTTGCAGCTACAGTGACTGGCAACAGCAATGAATAATAGCATAGGCGTTATGGGTCCATCATGTGGTCCCCCGGTGAACAGACAGGTCACGACCATCACATCATGGATGTAGGAAACATGATCTGAGTCACTGTTGTCATCTGAAAGCCTTCATTACTTATTGCATCCATTCAACTGAGGGTGCACGTGCTCTTGCGGTAGAACCGGGCCGGTCTACACCGGGGACCCAGTGCATGCAGGTGCAATTTAAAGGGGCATATTCTTTCAGGAGCTACAGAAGTGGAAGCACAAAGTATGTCTGCCAGAAGTTTCTCTCTGTAGTTGTGATTTGGATCTTAGCAGGTTAGAGTGTTATCACATTATTTAATTGAAACACTCTCTGTGAGTGAACAAAAATTTATTACACTGAGCCGTTTAAAAAAATATTCTAAAAGACATTTTCCGATGCGGGCCATAATATGGAAGTTGGTCTGGTAGCTGGAGAGGTGCCAGGGCACTTCCTGAGGCGCCCTCGAGCATGTCTCGAAAATAATAATAATGTTTACACCCGTGAACAGCTGGTTGCGCTGTGCCAACCTCGGATACATCCAGCCGAAAGACCGGACATCCCCGCAGAACTACGGAGGAAGAGAAGGGGATGCAGAGCCGGAGTGAAGTGTCGGGAAAAGAAAAGACGGTACAAACCATCCGTGCCGTCTTCAATTATGGGGAATGTAAGATCTCTCCCTAATAAGATGGAGGAGCTGACGGCGCTCACCTGGCTTCAGAGGGAGTACAGGGAGTGTAGCATCGCGGTGACTGTTTACACCCCCCCCTCGGCAGACGCTGCTGCAGCCTGTGAACTCATCCACAGTGTAGTGTCTCAGCTACAGACATCACACCCCCAGTCTCTTCTTCTCATCTCAGGAGACTTTAACCACGCTTCCCTGTCTGCCACTCTCCCTACTTTCACTCAATATGTTGACTGCCATACCAGGGACAATACAACTTTGGACTTACTGTATGCAAACACCAAGGATGCATACAGATCATCACCCCTCCCCCCCTGGGCCGCTCAGACCACAACCTGGTAAGACTGCAGCCCATTTACATACCTATGGTGAAAAAACAAACCCCCACAACCAGGTATGTGAAGAAGTGGTCTAAGGAGGCCACTGAGGCACTGCAGGACTGCTTCGACACCACTGACTGGGAGGCGCTGTGCAGCCCACATGGAGAGGACATCGGCGGTTTAACTCACTGTATCACAGACTACATAAACTTCTGTATTAAGAACACTGTACCCACCAAAAAAATACAGTGTTTCTCCAACAACAAACCCTGGGTGACCCCTGAGCTGAAAACCCTGCTCAATGAAAAGAGAAGGGTTTTTAGATCTGGAGACAGAGAGGAGCTGAGGAGGGTGCAGAAGGAGCTCAAGGAAAAATCAAGGAGGGGGAAAGCCAGCTACCAGGAAAAGATGGAGGAGCATTTACAACATAAAAATGCAAGAGAAGTCTGGAGGGGCCTGAATAACATCTCAGGTCACAGCAGAAGGTGTGGGAGGGGCCCTGAAGCAGGAGACAAGGAGTGGGCAAATGAACTGAATCTGTTCTTCAGTAGATTTGATTCTGCTCCCAACCCCACCCCCACCCACCAGAGTGCAGACCAGCCTGCTTCTCAGACATCCATCTGAGTACCCTGCCACCCCCCTCAACAGCCCTCTCCTTCTCCTCCTCCTCCTCCTCAGACGACCCCCCAACAACCCCCTCCTCTTCTTCCTCCTCCTCCGACGGCCTCTCCATAACAGCTGATCAGGTGAGAAGTCAGCTGAGGAAGATCAAGGTGAGGAAGGCCACAGGTCCCGACGGCATCAGCTCCAGACTCCTGAAGGACTGTGCAGACCAGCTCTGTGAGGTTCTTCTGCACATCTTCAACCTGAGACAGGAGAGGGTACCGACTCTGTGGAAGACTTCCTGCGTGGTGCCAGTCCCAAAGACATCTCACCCCAGGGAGCCTAACCACTTCAGGGCCTGTGGCCCTCACCTCTCACCTGATGAAGACCATGGAGAGGATCGTCCTCAACAACCTCCACCCCCTGGTGACTTCAAATCTGGATCCTCTACAGTTCGCCTACCAGCCGAACATCGGGGCGGATGACGCCGTCATCTACCTGCTGCAGAGATCCTGGACTCACCTGGAGAACACCGGCAGCACTGTGAGGGTCATGTTCTTTGACTTCTCCAGTGCCTTTAACACCATCCAGCCTGCACTGCTCAGGGGGAAGCTAGAGAGAGCGGGACTGGACTGTCACCTGGCTGCATGGACAACGGACTACCTCACCAACAGACCACAGTACGTGAGGCTTCAGGACTGTGAGTCTGACATGGTGGTCTGCAGTACAGGGGCCCCGCAGGGGACAGTTCTCTCCCCTTTTCTCTTCACCCTGTACACCTCGGACTTCTGCTACAACTCTGGGAGCTGCCACCTGCAGAAGTTCTCCGATGACACAGCCATCGTGGGGTGTGTGTCTAAGGGGAGCAAACAGGAGTACAGGCAGGTCATCATGGACTTTGTCGACTGGAGTGAGCTCAACTACCTTCAGCTCAACGCCAGCAAGACAAAGGAGATGGTGATTGACTTCCGCAGGAAGTCACCCCAGACTGCACCGGTGAACATCCAGGGCTTGGACATTGAGAGGGTGGAGACGTACACATACCTACAACAACAAACTGGACTGGTCACACAACACCGACGTTCTGTGCAAGAAGGGCCAAAGTCGACTACACCTGCTGAGGCGACTGAGGTCCTTTGGAGTGTGCAGGACTCTGCTACAGACTTTTTATGACACTGTGGTGGCGTCTGCACTTTTCTATGCAGTGGTCTGCTGGGGAGGAGGGAGCACGGAGAGAGACAGGAAGAGACTGAACAGACTGGTCAGGAGGGCCAGTTCTGTCTTGGACTGTCCTCTGGACTCTGTAGAGGAGGTGGGTGAGAGGAGGATGTTAGTGAAGCTGACATCCATCATGGACAACCCCTCTCACCCCCTGTAGACACTGTGGGGGCCCTGAGCAGCTCCTTCAGCAGCAGACTGAGACACCCACCCTGCAAGACAGAGCACTACCGCAGGTCGTTCATCCCATCTGCCGTCAGACTGTTTAATCGGACTCTTTAACAACATCACCACCTCATGCTACACACTGTGTGTGTTTTGTTAATAACAAGTTACTGTGTAATTTTACATTTACATTATTGTATTTTTTTATTTTATTTAAATGATGTAAATATGTTTGATCTGTGTTTTTAACTTCTATTTTTACTTAAGTATATTCCCGTCCCCTGTTTTTCTGGAGCTGCTGTAATGCACAAATTTCCCCCACGGGGATCAATAAAGTTTATCTTTATCTTTTTTTAACAGAGTGTGAAAACAGTATTTCCCCTCTGAGATTAATAAAGTATGTAAAATAAGAAAATAAAAAATGTGTTAAAAAATGAAACCTTTATGTTTCTTTGATGTGTGATCGTAAATATCTCCATGTGTCTGGCTGTCACATGGCCGAGTCAGCACTTTCATACAACAACAAACCATTTGTGTTACCACAGCTGTCTCTATTCTAATGTTTGTCACGTTATGTATGTATCACTCTTTAGGAGTTTTAACATGATCTTGTTTGCATCAATAGATAAAAACAACATGTCAGGACATTGACTACAGAACAGGTACAGACTACATTCTTTCTTCTATTATTTACAGAGACACAGCACACTTACTCTCTCCTTCTTCTCGTCTGTTTCAGAACTGGGCAGCCGGGTTTTTAGTTTCACAGACCCTTCTCTGAAAATATCTCCGAAGCCGATGCCTCGGATCTTCTTGGGCTGAGCTATGACTCCGTTTCCTGGTGTGGGCTGTGGCGATGTGGGCGTGGTGAGGCTTTCCATTCCACTTCCATCTTTGGAAGAGATACAAAAAACAAAGGAATTAATTGTCTGCTCCGATGGCGGCAATGGACAACATGATGAGTCTGTAGTGATTCAAAAACATATTCAGAACCATCTTTAATGATACTTCAGAACAATTCTCACTTTTCAATAAAGTAAGTGTGTGGATGTTCAGGTGTACACACATAACCACACATAACATGTAAGAGCTGCTTTAGCTCTCCTGTCAAACAACAAAGGTAGAAACCAGCCAAACGTCTTGTTGAGACTTGTTTCAGTCAAGCTGCAATCACACCTCAACACCTCCATTAATGCACTTTGTTTTACAGGCGTTGAAATAAAGGTCATTAAAGAAGCAATATTTCAAGCTAAGGATAAATATGGGAGTGAGATTTGAGAGAAAGGAATGATCACTTTTCCCTGCATTGTTTTTAAGAGCAGCTAATACATCTGCCTTAGCATTTTTTTGATATCATGTGTGATTATGCTGAAATTCAAGCTGCACCCCTTCACATAAACAAGGCCTTGCTGGTTTGTTTGTTTTCTTTGTCTCACCGGTCTCGTCTGCTGCTGCTGCTGCTCCTGTGTCGTTGGTCTCTGCGTCCTCTCCAGCAGCGTCCACCTCTTTGACAAAGTTGGAGGGAAACAGTCCGGACTTGCCGTTCAAGTTTCCATTCCACCAGCCCTCTTCAACCTGCACAGAGAAGAACTTCACTAAATGACACAACAACTTAATGCTCTTTGTCTTTGTGGTGCCAGTGTCCAGTAGGGCTGCAGGAACGACATTAGGAAATCCAATATTAAAAATAATAACAATAATCAAATGCCTGATTACCATTTGATTATGTAACTTTGTTATGAATAAATAATTTGTTACAATGTTTTAGATGAGGAGTGAATAAATTCACATGAGGATGTTTAATGTTCCTTAAACAGTTTTACAAAAGTAGTCAGCCTAAGTGTATTTCAAAAGCCCAGGCTTGAATTAGGCCACTCCCCCTCAATGTCGCGTCACGCACGCTGGCTGTCCACACTGCCTCCGTTAAACAGTTCTATATAATATATCTCTCTGTGAATTCTAGTGTCCCCTTGCAGACAGTATGACATATAGTGGGTTTTTTTAATAAAAGATGGACACGTGGATGTGTTGGGCTTTGTCTTGAGGAGCAGCACAGCACGCAGAGGATCGTCAACAAACGGCTTGCGGTGTTGCTGACGAGTCAAAGCACAACATTTCAGTCACAGATGTAGATATTATTAATACATCGTTATCTCCACTTTATACAACAAGATAGCAAGCTGTGCTGAGGGAGAAAGGCCTTAGAGCCTCCATCTTCCCGCGAGCGACAGAGAGGGAAATAGAAGCGGGGCGTCGGGGTAAAAACGGCGAGCTGCGATGTGCTGCGCTGCTCTGTTTGGGCCATATTAAAAATACTGTGGGCAATGCATCCAAGTGAACGTTATTCTGTGCCAAAGCTTCATGATAAAGTAAAAGTAAAATTGGATATGTAGTAGCCGACTAAATTTTAGCATTAAAACATTTTAATATATTTGAATATTAAATGATAAAGCATACACAATGAAATTGGTTTCTAGAGGAATATCTGCAGCCCTGGTGTCAAGTGGCTCAACATTTCCACCAAGACTCCAGTGGCACCACTGATGAAATATGAAGTAAGATTCTATATTTAAAAAATTATACAAGCATTATCCTCCCCTTACAACTCAAACTTTACTGAGATTCTAAAACTGAAGCTGTGTTTTGTTTATCATATAGTATGCACTAAGAAGACACAGACCAACATGCATTCACATCACTTGTTTAGTTTTTGTGCAGACATTTAAATACCTCTTCAGTGATGTCTACGATGTCTCCAGCTTTGAGCTCCAACTCGTCTTCGTTCTGAGGCTGATAGTCAAACAGCACCTTGCACTGCCTCTTCTTCGGCTCTGCATGAGGAGGGTCAGAAAATGGTAAATCCACTAGCCGTGACTATTTCAACCAACCAGCCTTCGCTCTGCACTGAGCAAACTGACCGTGACTTACAGGTGAAATGTCAAAACAGTAAATGTGCAGCATCTTACTCTTGGCGGCTGCTGGAGGCTGAGGCTGGAAGCCGCCTGTTGGGATGCCGATGGTGCTCATCCTCTGGACCAGGTTGGCCACGTTTCCTGCACTCTTCTCTCTCCTCTGGGGTTGAGAGCTCTCCTCTTTTGGCTCTGCCTTCGTTTCTTTGACCTCTTTTGATTCCTTCTTCAATTCCTAAAAAAACAAAATTAAGAAAGAGAGAAAAACTAAACGGTTAGTGGGAAAGTTTTTTATTTGACTGTGTCTTTAAGATGTCACACTATCAGGTATAACTATCAGAGAATATATCACATACAATGTCAAACCAACTTCTTTAGCACTTCATATTTATTTTATAAATGACAGAGAGCCTGAAAGCTGTTTCCAGAGTCACATGTTGTGATCTAAACCCTCCTGTCCGTACACTACAGACCCCCCACCTCATGTCATGACATTAACATGGAGATTACCCGGAACTTCTCGACCCTCCCCAACATCCACCTGGTTCACCACACCTGTATGACGGGCTGCGCCTCAACAGAGATGGAGTCAGAGTGTTTCTAAAGGAGGAAGAAGCACCAACTCTCCCACCTCAGCAGACCAGGACGCCCAAAGAAACACAGACCATCACAGCCCAGGCCTCGTCACCCTGCTCCGCCTCACAGTCCCAACCCACACACCCTCCTGCACCCCCCACTCAGAGAGCCCCTCCTGTCAGCAGAGCCTGTTCTCCAGGTCACCTGTGTTCAACATATTTCTGTGTTGAGAATCTCAATGAGTTCTTTTAAAATAAACTGTTGTAATATCCAAAGTCTTTACTCCTCAGTCCATGGTCTGACTCTGAAGAGTAACCCCCTCTACATTCTGTAAATGGTAATGATATCATAATCCTATCAGAAACATGGTGTATAGCTGATGTACCCACCTATTGTCCCCCAAACTACAGAGAGGTTATCGCCCCTTCCCAGAAATTATTGACTGTAAGTCAAGGCAGAGACTCAGGAGAACTCATTATATGGTACAACAAGATGTATGAGTTTCACAAAACATTAGAGGAAGTGAATTTTTTTTTTTAATGCATTATGGTCTAAGAGTCTAAGTACCATTACTATGGAAAACTGTGTCATTGCTCAGTATAGTGTTGTACCATTTACAGCTAAATATGTCACCAATGATCCCGGTCACATCACAAGCTGTAAAACAGCTGACCCATTCTCCTGGGAAACTCCCTGACAACAACACAAATTCTGCAACTTCACTAAAAGTTTGAAACTGGAGATGCAGGCCAACCGGCATGTCATGTGAATAACAATTCAATTCCATTCGCATACAGATAGGGCATCGTCACAAAAAAGATGTGAAACAAAACTTCAAAGCATGTTTGAGCTGTATCTGGTAAAAACAGGCACAGAGTCACAATGGTAAGAAAAAACCTGCTTCCAAAAGGGAGAAACCTCAGGCACACTGCAAGTTGACCGATTAAGTTTAGATTTTCAAAATCCCCAAAAACAACTGGAACTCCTGCCCCCTAATAGCACAGACACATTAACATGATATGATAGAGATATTCCACTGATTTGATCTGACAGCCTAGTGCTGAAAATTATTTAAAATTGATGATCACTTACAGAAGGTTTCACTGAAAGTGGTAAAGAACACTTTCAAACTAAACCAGAGATATTCTTAATGCTTTCTTGTTTAGATCCAGAAACAGACAAACCTTTATTCATCACACAGTGAACACTCATCATAATGTCGTGAATTGCACATAAAGGAGTTCTTGTATTTAGGGGTCTCCACGAGGCTCATTCATTCCTTAATTACAGCCAGCTGCTTTTTTGAATGACTCATTCTAATAACAGATTTGATTAAAAAGGTAGCTACTCGCTCTTCCTACACATCGTAGAAACACTTCAAATCAATAGGAGCACGCCTATCAGTAGCTCTTTTCTTAAAATGTGTTACCGCAAAAGTACTGCAACTAAGCTCAGTCATCATCACGTCGTTGTACAATAATATTGATTCTCTCTCTGAGTATAATACCTTTAAATATTTCTTGTTTTATATTTAGTGCTCTCAGTCTCAGTCTCTGGCTACATTGTGTAAGTGTGATTAAAAGCTGTGACGTGCCGAAGTGTTACACTAAAATTATATGGAAGACTATAAAGATAATTAGCTGTTATTAAAAAAAAGGTTAAACATTGTTTTACCAGAAATCCAAGTGAGAGAAATACAGACAGGTAAGAGCTCATACATAAGTACAGTCAGTCTTCCTGTGGTCATGTTAGAGAATGATTAGACTTTATTTTAGTATGTTTTTAAATGAATAAATGTAAAAGTAATACAAAAGCTTGAGGCTGACTGAGATAACTTTATCTTTGCTTATTCAGAGTACATAAATGCTTCTTCTAAATCATTGCCTTGATACCCCTAAAGGCCTGACACACCAACAAGATCGTCGGCACACTAGCTGCACTTCTATTCTTCTTCCACTCATAAAAGACCAAGGGCTGACAACGACAGCGCCATCTTCAACTTTTTATCAGACATTATTCTCCATTAGAAGAACCTATGTTACGAGTGTTGAGCGACAGCATTCTCGTATCACAACAACGGTTCATTTATAGGCGTTCTTCCTCGTCCTTTTTCGGTTTCCCCTTTTTGGAATGACGATTACAGACTGCTGCCACCTGCTGGCATGGAGAGTTATTGCCTCTCCTGCGTGCGCAGAACGAATAGCCGTCGGCTGTAGTCTTTGCGGTGTGTTCAAGTGCAACTTTTTGGCGAAAACAAAAGGCAACCTTTACATTGCAGGTCTAGATAATGAGTTAAATATTGAAAAAGGTCTGATTAGGATCAGTTGTTTGTATTTGTATTGTTTTAAACTGGGTGAGCACAGAATGAGCTCAGCCACAAGTTACTTTAATAACTGTTAAGGATGATGTGAACAGTTTGGCCTTTACAGTAAAACGTTTAGTCTGCTTCACCCAGAAATGAAAACATACTGGGGCGCTGGTGGCGCAGTGGTTTTGGCACGCGCCCCATGTATGGAGGCGTTGGTCTCAAGCGGGCGGCCCGGGTTTGAGTCTGGCCTGTGGCTCCTTTCCCGCATGTCATTCCCCCCTCTCTCTCTCTCTGGTTTCTGACTCTATCCACTGTCCTACCTCTCAATTAAAGGCACAAAAACCCCAAAAATATATCTTAAAAAAGTAGTTAAGTTAAGACAGCTAAGGAGCTTTGGACCTCTAAATGATACATTACCTGCAACAAACACTCATGTATTAACCAACAACAGGAAAGGGGACGAAGACTACACCTCAAAGGACACTAACGGTTTGAGGAACAAAGTTCAACCAGCAGCAGGCTCCTTAAAGGATTAACTGTGAAAGCCCAGTGACTGAGCCAGGCCGCTTAGCAGATTACCTATCTCACTACGGAAGATTAGACAATGTGACAAAGGGGAGAGGAGAGAGAAGGAGTAGTAAGAGAAGAGGAGCCAATAGTCAACAATGGTGACTCATTTTTACAGTGAGTGAGCAAAGGACCCTCTCCCAGTAAAAACCTTCAGGTACTTTAAGTGTTCTGACATAAAGACAGAGACAGCTTAAGTACTGCCCGACCAGGATGGAGAAAACAAGAGCCACAGGGTGAGAACCAGCCTGCTACTAATACGATCCCAAATACTTTAAAAGCAGCATCTTTTAACTTCATGCAGGATGGATACTTGAAATGTTTGTAAGCACAACGAAGTAATGAAATGATTCAAAACCCAAAGCACTTTGTTCACTCGCCTAGACTGCTCAAGGCCAAGCCAACAGCAATCTGAAATCCAAAGTATGACCCTATAAAGACCCTGACTGGGCCTGAGCAATAATTATCACCATAATTGTCAATCATTATTTCTTTCAAATTTAAAATCTGATTTTTGCTCCTGACTGAAAGTCAAAGAAACCAGATGGTTAAATATGGTTTAATTTTTCTTTATTGTCAGAACATGACAAACTATAATGAAACAGAGGAACATGTCGTCATCATCATAAAGTCAGAGCACGGAGCAGGGAAACGCTGATATGACAGTTTGCTGCTGGGGAGTTACACTTACTGGCCTGCTGGAGCAGGGGGGGACCCCATTTCACTTAACTTCTACCAAACAGGAAATGTTTTTATAGAGTTAAAAAATTAAACCGCAACATATTTAAGATCCTTTCATATTATCAGTAGAAAGTAGTAGAAGTGGGGACCTTGAGGGAAAATGATCCCTTGTGTGTAGGCGCACACACACTTCATGCCACCCCAGTTGAGTAGTGCCGGTAATAAAAGTCTGGATCTGCCCCTACTTTTTATCATGCAAGCAGGTCATGTTACTTTGGCCAGCAGCAGAACAGAGGATTCTGTTGATAGTACAGAGGGCGCAAAAACTGAAGGACAGGGACTCAAAACTCACCCAGGTTTAAGTCAGAAAACTTCTCTAGTATGTATAACCATCTTTCCTTAAGTCAACCTCTTCCCAAGTCAATAACATTTCTGCTGAGAGAGTCATTAGTAGAGGTGAGGGAAAAAAAACGATTTTCTTATCTTCTCAGATTTTAAATAGATTCAACTTCCAAAAATAGATTTTTCTTTTGGCTAATCAGTCACTCCCTGCTAAGTGCTAATGCTAGCTCCTTAACTCAGTAGAATGCCAAATGGAGAAGAAAGAAATTCAGCCAGTCTCTGAGATGACTGGAGTAGACCCTGAAGTATGTACTAAATCATAAGAAGACTTTGAATCATGAATCATTTTGAATTGAAAATAGATTCTCAATCAAAACGTGTCCCCAAGACTCAAAATCGAATCGACTTGTTAGACACCCTAAGAATCGCAGCCCTTGTCATTAGCCCTTTTCAGAGAGCGAGCACCCTAACAAAGCTCCGATGTTATTAAGTATAATTCATGTTGATTCCACAGCAGGGTTGGTGTCCAGTCTGTGAATTCACAATGCCTTGCTGAAGCAGAACGTGTAGAGAAATAGCAGGAGCTCCACAGATACACACACATGGACATGCACACATACATCGTATTGTTCTCCCTCGCTAGCACCGCATGTCCAGTCTTGCCCCTTTAATGCTTCTGTTACTACCTCTGATGGCAGATCAGAGGGGGATCCCAAATCCAAATCAACATCTTTACAAGCCAGAGGTCAATGACTCCTTGTGTGGCTTTTTTATTTGTATGTAAACAGCTGTAGGTTTGACCCTCTCTATCCATCAGGATGTAAACCTTTCTAGCTGATCCCCTGCAGAGTTAACAAGTTCAGCAATGTGACATATTAAAGAGCAATATTCTACAATGACAGCAGAAGTTTGTCCTCTCACCTTGACAAAGTTGTCAGGGAAGAGACCCCTTTTCCCGTTGAGGTCTCCCTCCATCCATCCATCCTCCTCTACATATCGCACGTTCTTGAGGATGTCCCCAGGTCGCAGAGTCAGCTCATCCTCGTGGAGCGCTTCGTAGTCATACTCCACCACAACCTCTACTCAGGACAGGATGGTAGGGATTAAGGGAAAGAGATAAAGGAATGAGGGAAACAATAAAACAGATTAGTGATCTATAGAGATATTTCACTTTCAAAGCATCACAGTGATTCATAAGTTGAAACAGTCTTCAGTAGTTACTGAAGTTAGAAAGTATGTGTAAAGGATTCTTTATTTCTAAAGTGCATTCAGATATTTGTCTTCAGGTCGCTGAAGCTAACCGTCTGCTTTAGGAGCAGGAAGCTAACTTCTTACTAGCTTGTCCTTGATTGTTGGGGCTCTTCTAAAACTGATCCCTTGGGGTTAACAAGGCGCTGTCGCTCTCAATGATGTCCCAGTTTATCTGTATGATGTGTTTCATCTGGAGAGCCTCTTTCCTGTACTGTGTGACAAAGTAAGGTCTCTGGGTTTGCTCTTGTTTGGGTTGTAGACCTGGGTGAGGGGTGATGACCCCGCTGTGTGAAACGTTGCTGCATATCTGTGGATTGGATGTGAAAATCATGGTCGGAATCACATGTTCACTTAAGCCTCTGGAATTGCCCATAAGGAACATTTTTAATAAGATATGGTGGATGAAAATTTTCCACATGCAATATAGTGTTTTGATCAGTGGCTTTTCTGAAAATGTTATATTTTGAGATGTGTAGATCCAGAAAATGAACGGCCAGTTGGCTATATTCAATAGTCTAGTTTAGTTATAGGGAATCAGGAGAAATGTTCTGAAGGTTACAGCAGGAGAGCTTCATTTCTAATCTAATGTTAAGTTCCTGCTCCTATACAGCATTATTTACAGGTATATGGTAAATGATGAACTGCAGGAGCTCCACAGAGACACACAGTCAGAACTCCCTGCTGACTTCACTGATACCATCTCACCTCTGTAAATCTATTAGCAGCAGCAGGTCGAGCCACCTCTAAAGAACAGTGTAGTGCAGAGGACTAACTGGTAATAAGGTATTTTACTACATACTATGACTCACAGCAAAGAGTTTCACTAGAATGACTGGTCTCAAACAAAGGCCCAATAAAAACCTTTGAGGTTGTAACTTGTAACTTTGTGACCCTCTGGAAGAAGAAGTTCAGTTTTTACACTCTGTTAATGAGTCATGCAACACACAACAGGATCCTATGAACATGCACTCATGGAGCGATGTCAGAGTGAGGGAGGGGCTCAGGAGCTCCTGAGCTGGTGGTGGTGGTGGTTGGGGGGGGGGGTTCTTGCTCAAGGGCTCAGTGCTCAAGAGGTGATCTGGCACCTCTCCAAATACCAGACCAACTTCCAGATTTGAACCGGTTCCCAACCCAAGTCCCTACAGACTGAGCTACTGCCGCCCCCACAAACCCACCACAGGGACACCCAGTCACACAGGTCCTTCTGGAGTTTTAGCTGCTGCATAACAATGAACACAAGTTCCATGAGCTTTTTATTGTTGTTCCTTTTACTTTAGAAAAAGTTTTTTAATAACTCAACAGAATACTGGGAAAAAATATATTTTCTTCACTCACTGAAGTACTGAACAGGTGTGTGGAGGACCGTTGTTTTAATAAAAGAGGATTTAAATTTGTTTGTCTACTTTCATTGATGGCTTGTATTATTTTTAGTTTTTTGTGATTTCCCAAATTAAATTAAAAAAAAAAAACTTTGTTTGAAAAACTAAGTTTTCTCTTAACTCTGTTTTTATGTCTGTAAGGTGTAGGAGCATTTTATTTAGTCTAACACTGAGTGTTTGGTGTCGCATCGCACATGATTGCATACTCGCATGCTTGCTGTCCGCTCTGCATCCGTTAAATATTTAATGCTTTGCTCTGTGGATTTTTCAGTTTCACCTTGCAAACAGCACAATATGTGGTGCTTTTGTACAGAAGGTAGACAAAGTGTCATCACAACACTCAAAAGCTTGTCAAGAAAGGACAGCGTTTTCATTTGAGTGTTTTAGAGCTTAAAGCAGATATCTCTTTTTCTCTCTCTCACTTTCTCTCCCTCCATGTGGTCTGATGACATGACTGATGGTTCCCCTTAGATAAGCACAAAATATGACAATTACCTACATTATCCATCTTTTTCTCATAAAAGGTTGCCAGTTACATTGTGAACTATATGAAGTCCAGCAAAGCATGATGGGATATGTGGGCCGTACTACCCACTAGAGGAAAAAGCATTGGTCAGTAACATAGCTAAGTGAAAGGTTAGCATTGGGGCATCTCTTCAGTGTTAAACCTGCAGGAGATAGCAGTGCAGTGGTGGTTTCAGGATATAGTGAGATGAACTAAAGCCACGTTGTTGATGTGTTTGTAGCCGAGAACCAGAGAGGGGATCATTAATAAATGTTGCCCACTAGCTGTTAGCCACTCAAGGGGCGGGTGGCTCAGTGGTAGAGTCAGTCGACTTTCAACCTGCAGCTACATGTCCAATGTGTCCTTGGGGAGTACACTTAACCCCAAGTTGCTCCTGCTGCTTCGTCTGCGGTGTATGAATGGATGAGTTAATACTGATGGTCTCTTTACATATCAACCTCTACCATCAGTGTGTGAATGTGTAGGTGTGACCTGCTGTGTAAAAGAGCTTTGAGTTGTCAGAAGACTAGAAAAGAAATACACAAGCTCAAGTCCATCTACCACTCTAGCATAATCAGCTAAACTTACTAGCATTAGGATTAGATGTTAGCTTCCGCACTACGTTAGTCTGTTTATTTTATTGCAGAGGTGTTCACGATAAAGAGAGAGAGAAATCAGCAGAAACTATTTTTATTTGATTGCAGTAAGTATGATAAGCAGGTGTAGGGCATCTCTTCAGTAGTAAGTAACATATGGGCTTCCGGTTCCACCACTACCGCAGATGGCAGCTTTGTACGCTGTGTCCACTGACAGAATTTCAAATATCATGCATATTACTGAATCAACCCCCGAGAATATTTTAAAAGTATGATTACGGGATAAAGATTGAAACCAGAGAAAAAAGTACAAATTTGACCCCAGATTTGCACGAGGAGTACGAAGAACATCGAGGTGCGGAGCTACATGCTAACAACGGGAAAGATGGCGGAAGACAGAAATGCAACGAAAAGTCAAAAGTGAATTTGGAGAATTCAGATGAATGAAATTGGTCAGATGAACTGGAATTTAGGGGTGAAGCGTGCTGAGGCATGGTACAGATGGCCAGTGACTGACTGATGGTCATATCGCCTAGGCCTAGTTAGACATTAAAAGACAAGTAACACTTTCACATTGTGATGTCATAGTTTTAGGAGTTGCTGATGCTGATTTTGAGGAGGGCAATTAAAAAACATTTGATGTAAAAAGGTCAAAATGAGAGCGTTGAGGAGGGCAAGTCCTCACCACTCTAAAAAAACGGAGGAGAAGGGGAAAGAGGTAAAGGGGAAGCTGAGAGGGGGGGAGGAAGGAAGGAAAGGGGGTTGTTATTCAAGGCCACGCTGGCCAGCTGATTTCCAACATCAGTGTGCTTCTCTGTCACGCTCACATAGACGACCAAAAAGGAAACTCCTAACTGCATTCCTTTATCAGTGACAGTGGAGGTACCGAGTTACCACAGAAAGTCAAGAGGGAGTGAACAGAGAGTCGTTATGGAAACCCTTGTAGAGTTCATTCGTATTTACCGACAGCACTCTGATAATAGTACCTGAAGTGTACCACGCCCCGCATAACACACACCTGGAAGCTGTGTTTGACAGTCCCTTCACCTTTTAGAAATGTCTCATTATCATTCAAGTTACCACGCCTGTGCTGCTTCAAGAAAAACAAAACCCAATCGTTCCATGATTAAACAAAAAGGGCCCTATCAACACATTCAAATGGGACTAGAACTACAGTCTTAAAAAGTCAATCCTAAATCTAGGACTGTCACGTTCTGAATAAAACTTGAAACTCATTCAAACTCATTCAGAATATTTCAACACTTTAGATGTGAGATTTGTCCTTTCTTTAATTACACAATTTCAGAACTCCTAATTGTTTCTTGTTAAGGTGTTGATTCAGTATGCATGGTACATATTCACATCAGTGAAATACTTCATTGTACATATTAGATGCACACTTGTTTGATTTCAGCAGTGCATGAGCGTCTTTCATGAGTTTCAGCGTCTCTGCTCTGCCTGCGTGTTCCTACCGAGAGCGAGACACAATCACACTGACTGACACGGTGACTCGCCTCCTTAATGGTTTGTCAGACACAATGCCAGGATATGAATTTTGGCTGAGCCTCTAACCCAGGGATGGGCAACTTCGTTCACAGCAAGGGCCATATTAATTTAATGCTCACTGCCAGAGGCCAAATTTTAGGATACAAAAAACCATTACAGTCGATTATGTCACAAATTTAACTCAACATATACCAGTGACCGCCAGTTGCCCACCCCTGCTCTAACCTGAAGAAGCTACCTGAAGAATTCTTTCTTCCTTTTTTCAGTGTCCACATGTTGTATTTAATACTCTCCAGTAGTAATTTATAAAGCATGACTACTTGACTAACTGACACACAAACAGTTTCAGGCTGAGCAAATCAACAAGGACATTATGACACAAAAAGGGACAAGAAAGAGAATTGATTTAAATAAAAAGGGGAAAAAACAATAATTAAATCTTATTTCAGCTTCAAAGCATACACTGTGATCTTATACATTTAAAGAGTCTTGAAACATTGTTAACTTTTAAGGTTAAGAGTTCAATTTGTGTAATAATACTTAAAAAGTATCACATGATGATGATTGTCTGTCCTCTATTACCAAACCTCATCTCATTTAATAAATCAAGATTGGCTTAGGTCATGTTATCACCCCAAACCCAACTTTGACATTCCTCCCCTAATAAAATAGATATTGTTCTAGAGGTGGGGAAAAAATCAATTTAAATGCAAAAATCGAGATTCTTCTCTTCTGAGATTTAAAATCGATTCATAACTTGGAAAAATTATTAATTATTATTATTTATTTTTTTGTCTAATCAGTCACTCGCTGCTAAGTGCTAAGGCTAGCTCAGTAGAATGGCAAATAGAGCAACAAGAAATTCAGTCTCACAGATGACTGGAGTAGTAAACGTGCAATAACACTCCATTTTGTAGTGGTGCCCAAATTCTGAGTGAACATGAGCCTACCCCATAGAAGTTCACGCATTGTATCCCACAATGCATCGTGAAAAGTAGTGCACTATTGATGGTCACTTTCCGAGTAATATATACAATCATGAATGGACAGTCCAAAGATTTTTTACAAGCGGAGAGCGGCGTTTGACTTGAACACAGAAACACAATAAAGTTCATATTTTTTATTATTGAAATCTATGATCTGTTTTAATTAAGAGTAAAAGATCGTCCACGTTAGTTTGTCCTAATGATGACACGAGACCAGAGTCTGTGAGCACAACTAACATTAAAAACATTATTAATGAGTCCACTGCTACTGTATTATTATTATTATTATTATTATTATTATTATTATCATCATCAGGCTGCTGTTTTGAATTGACCCTGTTTTGTTAGAATAATAAACTTGAGTGTAGCCTAGGATATAAACACATTTAATTGACATATCTTAATAACTATAGGTTTATAATCCAGCCATTGTCATTACCTGGCTTTATCTAAAACACAACATTTGAACTTCTTGTGTCTTAATTTTTACTAAAGGTACAAGAATCTGTACTTCAAAGCAGAAGTCAAGGAGCAAGTGAAACAGAGACTGTGCTGGAGGGGGAGACCAGACCCCCATGTGACCAACCTGTTGCATCAAAGCCCACTGTACCTGACACAGTAAATGTCTCCAGTTAAAAAACATGTAGCCTTCTGCTCTCAGCACATGAAGAAGTAATGAAAGAGAACTCTGAGGTGGAGCACCTGCTGGACAGTCCTTCATGGTACCTGTCTGAGCTGCCCATCAGCAGAGGCAAAATGCATCGAGCTACTGGAAGACACACAAAGACCGTTTCCCAGCAGTTAGGTACCTCTCTGCTCCATGTACAACTAGAGGAGAAAAGAAACCATGACGAGGCAGAGATGCTCTTGTTCATGAAGAGAAATCAGCCATTAATGTTAGAGTCATAGGAACTGAAGAAAAAACCTAAAAGGTGATTTTTATGTTCTTCGGTTTAATATCTTTTAAAACAGTACAGAAACTTTTGTTTTTTCAAGGTTTCTAAAAGAAGTAACTGTTATCCTGTGAAATGATGCACTGTCTTCATTTTGGGATGTTTTATGAAGTGAAATATAGGATCCAGGTTCTGTTCTTTCATTTTTCAAAGTTAAATAAATATGTAAAGTTAAATTACATTGTGTTGTTTTAAAAGTTCTGTTGCACCTCATTTTTGTGTGAGAAAAGTAAAAATTGTTTGATACAAGTGATATTAACTTTAGATTTATTTTTTATTTTTTGCAAAAGGCGATTTAGTAACTATCTAGTAACCTGGACTGAGATTTGATTTAGTGAGCATGAGAGAAGTCCATGTAACATGGTTTAACTATACAGTTACTTAACAATCAGTGTTTTATTATGTACATACAATAAAGTTTAACATTTTCATTAAAGAACAGATTTTTTTAAACTTTCAATAAAGTTATTTTAAGTAAGAAAATCGGTATCGGCCAATATCTGCATCATCCAAGGATGATGATCTCTGTAGTTCCCACTTCCCTCTGCTCTGTTCCACTGCGGCTGAAACAACACTACATTTTTTTGCCTGGAAGACGTCACATTTTATACCATCACAGGTGCACCGTTACATCCCTAATCTACACATTAGCTACAGTTCTTATAAAGCTACAGCTAAACGAGTTCTGCAAGGCTAAAATAGAACAGAAACACAGGATCTCTTACACATGTTTCCAAATGAATCTATCACTGTGTGAAAATGTGCCAATGAACACTAAAATAGATTTAAGACACAAAAGAGAATACAAAACTAAACCACAATTTTGCAAGAAACTGGTGCACAAAAAAATAACTTAAAGTGATTTCACATTAGGGACCAGGGCCTTGATCGGAGTACACTTGTCCCCAAAGTCCGGTTCATTTGATCTTTATGAACACAAACATACTGTACCCAGGCACTGTACGATTCATGTGTACGGTCCACGGGAGATGTGAATGCAACCGTCCTCAAACGAAGGAGATGTGAACAAACAGTACAAAACGATCATGCCTAACATTAAACATCAACATGAATCATGAGAAGGTTGTGATCGTTATCCTGCCTGTCTATATCACACACCTCTGGTTTAGTCAGGGTTATTTATTTAGATTAAAATAATGTCTTTTATGTACCTCATTTACCTAAGAAGGTAAACCGACCTGCATAAAGGAAGTTAAAAAACCAGGGTGGGATATCAACAGGAGCCATAAGCTAGTAAATATTGGTTCAGCCCAGTGAGGTTAATGTTCAATCAGACATTCTGGCATATGTCCAACCTTTGTTTAGGTGCTTCTATGAAATCCTTCACGGAAGTTGGCTAGAGAAATAAGACAGTAACTGGAATGTCCTCGTGGCCTCGGGGTATGGAGACTGTCCATCCCCAATACAATTCACCATTACCTAAAAAACTGTCAAAACTGAAGGAACAATACTGTAAAAAGCAAACACAAGATTTAGGAGTGGCAGCTGGCACAGTGTTGGAAAACATACCCAAGAAAGCAACAACATTTAAAACTACGGTTTGCTTAAAAAAGTCATGATATTAGTCCAGACCAGGACTAGACCAGGTAGGCTCTGTGTAGCCTCAGCAATGTGAAAAAAAAGAAAGAAAACACCAGGTGAGAGGTTTGCGCGCACACACACACCACATACCACACACAAACATCTTGGACATGTTTAAACACATCTGAGATATCCTCTTCACCAATGAGCTACCTGAGGAAAGGTATAGGAAGAGTAACCTGCATTACAAACTCATTAAACTGAAGCCCCTTTTGGAGTGATTATTAAACATGTCAAAGTCCAGATCAGATTTCTTCTTCAGGTTTTACAGAACTACTTCTTGTTCTTCTTCTTGCATTATAAGTTAAGTTAAGTCAATAACTCTTTCCACAAGTGGAAGTGTAGATACCGTGTAATTTTCTATTATTGTATTTTTTTTTATTTAACTGGTGTAAATATGTTAGATTTTTAAATTCTACTTTTATTTTTAATAATTATATTCCTGTTTCCTGTTTTCTTGAGCTGCTGTAATGCAAAAATTTCCACCATGGGGTGGTGGAAATTCCACGTGGAAACCAATAAAGTTTATCTTTATCTTGTCTTAAGTGTTAGTGTCATGTGTCTCTTACTTTGTTATACTGTAGTCCTTCTTACAGTAAGTGTATGCTGCAGAGCAGTGTTGTTTTCTCTGACTTTTCAAAACCACAACTTGCAGTCTGAGTGCTGAGCTCAAAACCAGTTTCACAGCATAGCACACAGGTCGTGAACAAGTCCGTCAGCACACACAACCCCACAGACCTCAGGCTGCAAAATCTTTTGAGATGCAGTGGGCTGGTTTCACAAAAGGTTTATAAATAAACACACAGATCAGAGTATTTCCCCTACACAATGTCAGCTCGGCCATCGCAACCACCAATCTCAGTGTCTTAAAGAAAAGCATCAGAAACTCCTGTGTTCCAGTTTCAAAGCAATAAAAAACAACTCATTATATATATATATGGTTTTAAGGTTGTGTTTGGAGTAAAACAATGATTTGTTGTCAGGCTTAAGCTGAGTCATAATCATGATTAGGGTCAGGTAAATGAAGGATTTGGAGAAGGGTCCACCTCAAAAACAGACCCCTACTCTCCTGTGATTCAAGTGAAGACAAGCAAAACATTAGAGGGTGTGGGGACTTTCAGTACGACACTCACTGTCATGGAAAATATGCTACAATAATAATAATAATAATAATAATGTCTTATCATCTCTACTGCCCTTAAACAAACATCATAAACTTCATGTTAGGAGTTTCCTGTCTGCAGAATTGATTCATAAAGAGCAAACTTTGGAGGCCAGAGCTACACAAGAAGAAGAAACAGGGAATGTAATGTTAATACACAGAGGCCTTGTTGACATCACCTACAGGGTTTCTGTTTACATTAAATCGACATGCAGCACAAATGAGCTGGCTATGCTAACCAGCTAGCTACATGCTAACTTCCACTCCCTCCTGATTTAATGCGGACAGCTACATTTATGTCACTGGTTCATAATGTCATGTAGTCCGTGTGTTAAACTTCCTTTCCATGTTTAGTCCAAATAAAGGAGTATTTTACAAACACAGTGCGCACATTCACAAGCGCCACATCATGGAAAACTCACCCATTCCTGTCCGTCGCTCACACTCTCTATCAAAGGTTTGTGAATCTCCTCTCCTGCAGCCTCAGCTAGCTAAAACACAGGTAGATAAGTCTAATCGACCACCGACTTGTTTTCTGTCGATTCACTGTCGTAAAAGAAGCAAAGTGAGCCGTACATCCATTCGTCTTCTCCCCCAGCCTGCCCTCTTCTCAATTTGTGCTGTTTCAAGGATATTGTGCAGGAAGTTCACCAATAGTCTCCACCTTTTCTTGGACTTGCTGCCTGCCGGCTGCTGCCACCAAGACAGACAGGCTGCAAAATATCAGGAAACATCGCGATGTTTCAGGGAGCGAAGTCCAGCGAGAGGAATGTTTGATGGAATGTTGATCTCCAGTGTGTGTGTGTGTGTGTGTGTGTGTGTGTGTGTGTGTGTGTGTGTGTGTGTGTGTGTGTGTGTGTGTGTGTGTGTGTGTGTGTGAGAAAGTCAGAGACCTCGATTATGCCTCTCTGACTTCTCCACACTTGTTATATTTTGTTGTAGTTTCTTGAAGCGAATATTTAGAAAATGCACTTTTTTAGATTAACGCAAACGGCTGCATGGTGTAGTTTAAAAATTAAGTTGAGTTTGTAAAATAATAACTAGGCTACATTTGAGCATTATTGTCTATTAACATACCGTTTTTTAAAGATGAAATATAAGAGAAAATTAAGCATACAAAGCTATAGAATCATAGCGTCATTCACACACAATGATGATTGAAAATAACTTCATAAACTGATAGTTAGGCCTACTTATAAATGCATTTTTGTTATCTGAAACAAAAAATAAAAATTAGACCTTACCTTTTTATTTTATTTTAGGGAAATTCTAGTTTACACAAAACTAAATCAAATTGTAGAGGAAATGTTGTCAGTTGTCGTCTTTGACACAGAGTGACACACAGCCTATCCTTACTTTTTGTCTGAGGCACGTCAGACTTCATTTTGATGATCTTGCTGACTGCAGAATTTAAAACACTTTTCTCTTTCTTGTATGTTTTATGAGGTAATGTTTAAAGAAGTTTCACAAGACTTTCACTAAACAAAAACTAAACTAACAAAGAATAATAAAAAAATTAAAACTAAACTGAAATTAAATAAAAACTGATGAAAAATCCCAAACTCTTATAACATTGGATATAACTAGAGTATTTGGAGATCAATGGTGTTGAAGCAGACAGGCATGGTGTGCATACAGCAGACTGTAGGTGTAATGTGCACAGTGCACACAGGCTGATTTGAGGGATACGGGCTTTCAGGAAAACGGCTGAGCATCAGGTGTGATAAATCCTGTCGCAGTATCATTCTGAGAACATCACTACAGAGGGAAATATATGAGCACATCGTTCCCTTCATTTCCCCCCTTCTATCTTCTCTTCTACCCGTCTGTGTCGCTGTCTGTGAATGCAGTTTGTTTTTGATGCATTAACTTCTGGCAGTGTCATTAAATCGTTTGGCATCTCAGGGCACAAAAGGATCTCTCTCATCTGCTGAGTGACACAATGCTATTTGAAGCATGCTGACCACACCTAAAAAAAAAACACGTTTGCGGTGAAGGAAACGCTCTCATCACACAGATGAGAGCGTGTGAAATTTAGAAAAGGTCAAAACAGAGTTTCTTTAAATACAGTATGTCTTTAATTATTCTGACACACAAAAGGACTGGGATGATCCACGCACATTCATTTCACAGGGGAACTTCTTGCTATGCACATCGACATGTTCAATATGAAGAACATGTCAATTTGAAGTCTTTTATGCCTCAGTTACTTTTTTAGTTTCTTTTCAAGATCCTTGTAGCATGTACTTCCAAAATGACTTCCTGAAAGATTCTTCTCCTCTATTTCAATTTAATTTCCATCTTCAAGGATTGTTATTTTCCCATATTTACCTTTACCTTTCATTTCTTTAAAGTTAATCACACAATATGGCTTGTATGGTCTTTGGGCGGCTGTGGCTCAGTGGTTGAGTCGGTCGTCTCTCAACCACAAGGTCAGGGGTTAGATCCCCAGCTCCTGCAGCCACATGTCACATGTGTCCTTGGGCAAGACAAGGACACATCTGATGGACTCTTTACTCAGCAGTCTCTACCATCAGTGTGTGAATGTGTAGGTGTGACCTGCAGTGTAAAAGAGCTTTGAGTAGTCAGAAGACTAGAAAAGAAATAAACAAGTTCAAGTCCATTTACCATGACCAAACCAGTTCTCTTCTGTGCAGTAGGTTTGATTTTGGGGAACAATGTCCCCTCACCAGCTTATCGCTCTCTCTCACCGCAGAATGAACTGTTAGAAAGGAAGTAGTTGAAGGCAAATTCATCCTGACAGGATCTATTAAAGCAGAGCGTCAACAGGTCTACAAAAGACGTGTAAACACAAATTCTATGCAAATGTGTTTGACCACATAGGCACCTCGCCAGCACACACACACACACACACACACACACACACACACACACACACACTGTTCATGCCCATGCCCAGTTTGAATAACAGGCAGTGGAAATCAACTGAAACCACAACATTGGTTCATTTCCATTTGCAAATACAGTTTGTAGATCATGCGTAGCTCGTTGCCTTTATTGGATCGCTCCAGTCATCAACTTTTCACATTGACGAGTACATTTATCATGAGTTCAGGATGGTTTTCTGGGAAGAGCTAAATCAACATTTCACTTCTAATTTATCACTTCTAAACTAAGCCATTTTTATCAGCTGACCATGAAAAAATGATGAACACACAAAACATTCAACACAAAGGAAAGCCAACTCCATTATGATCTGTTCAGTAGTAATATGTGTGTAAACATATTGTGTAAATGATTAGCTGTAATAGGAATTGTAGATATCAATAATTTATTTTTGACATGTAAGAATTCCAAGCCGACATATCCACAAAGTAACTTTCACTAGTAACAAATCTAATTAAAGATATCTACATGTCATTTTTCACTAGTGGAAATGGTCATTGTAGATATCTGTAACTTAATTAAAACTAGTCAGCTTGTCCCATTGACTTCCATTCAAATTGAATTAGAGATATCTGTAATTCAATTTTTACATGATGTAATTCAAAGTCAACATATCCATAATGACATTTTGACATGTTGCAATTCTACTTCATGATATCTACAACTCAATTCTCACTAGTAGAAATGTTCATTCTTGATATCAACAATTCAATTCTTACTATGACAAAGTTAATTTATGATATCTACACTTCTTACATTACAGATATCACACATTAATTCTAGATATCTAAAATGCAATTCTTACAAATTACATTATTGATATCTTGACCTGGAATTGCAAGAATTGCATTTTAGATATCTGAAATGCAATTCTTGATGTCTGAAATTACATTCTTTCGTGTAAAAATTACATCAGAGATTTTCTTTTTAACTAGTCAAAATCGAATTGTTGATATCAAAAAAGGAATTTCCACATGTACAAATGTCATTGTAGATATCTGCAGTTATATCTGAAATGGTTTGATAATTTTTGATATCTGAAATGGGAAATTACATTTCCATTAGTAACAATCCCTTTTCAACATGTGGAAATTCAATTGTAGATAATCTGTAATCATTAGTGAAAAAGTAATTACTGATGTCAAAATTACATTTCCACATGTTGAAATGTAACTTCCAGAAGTAAAAACTAAATGGCTACTTGTCAGCGCAGACTGGTTTAATGTTAAAAGGACTGGCCATAATACAGCCATCCACCTTCTCTAGTTTCTCTGGGGTCGGGTTGCTATGGCAGCAGTCTAAACATGTTGCTCCTGCTCCCTCATATATGAAAGCTTATTTAAAACCCACATTTATTCAAAATCAGTCTTCATTTCTAATACTGAAAACTCTTCTGGTGCTGTTTATATGTTTCTAAGTTCCTTGAAGTTTCCTACTCAGTACTTTTACATTTCTCAAAGGGAACAAAGGGACAAATGGCCGGGGGGGGGGCGCTGCTTGTCAACGGGCGAGGAGTTAAGTTAAACCCCAGCAGTGGCTCAAAATGTGCAAAGTGTGCAATGACAGAAACCTCCCTAAGGTGGCCCTATCTGACAGCCATTACTTTTGTTGTGTTGTATTATATTTGTGAAAATCTTCTTTTGTCACTGACAGTCACAAAAGGAAAATAAGATAAGTTTGAGTACTTTTTTGATCCCCAGAGGGGAAGTTTGGGCGTTGCAGCAGCAAGACACACAAGTAGAAAATCAAATAAAAGATACATACAAATAAAATAACAATAGGAGGTATAAATGATGGTTTTCATCATTCTTTATGTTGAAAATAATAATAAAAAAAAGTTGTTGGTGTCAGATGATTTACGACATTACAGTATGGTAATAACTGATGGGTGGATGGGCTCCATCAGACTCCAGAATCACCAACACAAATGGCACTTACATGTTGCCATATTTCAGGGTGTGATATTAACGTCCCTGTTACTCCTCAGCTTTAATGTGTAAGGCACAGAGGAAAAGGTGATCTGAACGCTGTACAATCCGATGCATTAGATTGGTCGCATCTCTAGTTGCGTGCTCCATGTTGGGGGCTGTAGTCCTCGTTACAGGGTAACATTGGTTTGAATCGAACCTCAGCCCTTTGCAGCATTTTGTCCCCCACTCTCTCCTCCCATCATGTCCTGTCTCTCACAAACTGTCCCATCTCATAAAGGCAAAAAGGCCAGAAAACTAATTTAAAAAAAAAAGACAAACAAAGAAATAAACAGGGGCACTGTGGATTCAAAAGTCACTATGGCTCACTTTTATGAGGAAAACAAAAAAATAAACTTTTGGTAGATATTAAATGTGATGAATCTGTATTTAAGGTGCAATTACCAACGTTGTCCAGTAGAGGGCAGTGTAATCTTAGTGTAGTTGTAATGCATCTCTATAAGAAGCGAAATCAGTTCTGTACTAATTACTAAAGAATCTTTTCAAGTAATCATACAAATACTTTGTCTTTATTGTTTAATTCAAACTGTTACATCAGCTTGTTGCATTACAAATACCAAAGCTGTAACTGTATACTTCTTTCAGTTAGAAAATGAAAGAACTGACTTTTTTCAGTAGTATCACCCAGTAGCCTTAAAATGGCAACATGTTTGGTTTGAGTTTGAGTTTTGCTGAAATAGAGCGGGCTGTCTGAGGGGCATTAAAGCCTTTATTACAACACAAGCAGTTGGGGAAGATGAAGTCCGATCCTTTACGTGTGGAAAAAAAATTACACAATCCACACTTCAAAATATTCTATTACAAAAAAAGATAAAAGTAGAAGTATAGGCTT